CTGAGGTGGCGGGGAAGCCGCCGCGCTCTCCGGCCGCCGCCTGAAGAAGCGCTTCGAGGTTCTTGTCGCCCTGGAGGATGCGTGCCCGTGCGGGGTTAACCGCCGGTGCGGGTCGCAGCCGTGCTCCTCTAGTTACGTGAAACAAACGAACGTGCGGAGTGCCCTTTAAAACTGTGTAGGGGTTAGGTTGTTGCCAGTGATTTTAAATACCAGAGTCTTTTACTCCCCTCTTCAGCGATGCTTGTAATTTCTGCTGTCTCACAGCGCAGTGAAGAGCTTAATCATAATTGCGTAGTGACATCGACTGAGAAGAAATCTTCACCTCCATTGGTTTGAGTTTCTTGATTTTGTTTTTTCTTCAGTGTTTTATAAAGCGGACAGGTGCTGGATGTTCTGGCTTTTCTGGATTTATTTGGGATTTTTTGCTATAGACTGTTTCTGAGCTCCTGTTGTCGATGCATACGCTAAAGATACCACCAGGTGTTCTTGCATTAAAGCTGCAAACGTGTGTGTGAGATCAGTAAAGGCAAGCCGACTGTCTCCTTGTACTGATTTCCGAGTGAATGTTGATGCTTTAGCTCAGCAAATGTGGGGGTTTTTTTGTTTCTATACCATGGGCGCAATGGTAGTGCTAGGAGTAGAGTATGTCTATGTATGAAACTCTGAAGTCAGTTTATTTCCCGTGGGAATCTTCGTTTGCCATTGGAACCTAAATCTAAGTAGTGTGTCGTGCAAATGCTCCCCTAGAGTGCTGGGATAGCCCAAACTGCTGAAGTATCTAGTCTGGCCCCAATTTATGTCTTTTGTCAGAAACTGTAATCTGTACTGGGTAAGAATGGGATCAGAGAACTTGGAGGAGCCTGAATGATTTAGTTTTTCTGAAGACGTGGTACTTACTGTGTGGAGCTTAATTACAAGCAAAGATAAGGGGTAATGCCGGTGGGTGGACGAGGAAGCGTAACACATCAGGCCTTGTGATGTGGGTTTGTTGACTGTATCCCTTAGTTACAGGATATTCTAGCTGAGATTGAGTTTGTACCTCTTAAAGGAGAATCTCTACTGCTTAGCTGCAAAAGCACGTTCCTAGCAGTGGGATAGTTTCTAAAGCTGTGCAAGATGGATTAGTACACATGGTTTCTAGGAATATGCGTGCTATTATAACAACTCATCAGTTATATGCAGGATACACTGTGCAGAAAACTTCACTATGCAAATCCTCTGCATGAAATTAAAATAATAATGGAAATTAAGTCTTGTTTGTAGTAATTTGTAGCATGCTTTTGAAGTATCAGTTGCTCTTCTCTTACTTATTCATTTTATTTATGCATTTTTATTGTAGCCACTGATGCAGTTTAAAACTGGTGAAAAAAAGATTACAGAAGATAGAGGAAATGAGTGTGTGTGAAAGAGATGAGAGAGATTGATATTGAGATTCATTTTCTTGGCACTGTCCCTGTAAATCTGTTTTGCATGTAGTTAAGAAAATGAGCTTATTACTTCAGATAAGATTAGCTTCCAAAATAGTGTAATAATAGGCTTCTGTTGCCTCACAAGGAGAGATTTTGACTGCTGAACTGGAAATAGTGCCTGGGTTAAAAGAAATGTCTCCCATCTGTGAGCAGCTGTCCTGGGGAAGCACCAGTCTGTCAGTCAAAGTGCTGCCCTGGCCCAGCTGAGTTTCATCCCTAATAGCTTGGACAGGTGCAGAAGTTGTGTCTCCTCTGCCAAGTGCAGTTGGCATCTGTTTTTAATTTACCAATACACAGCTTTTGTTTTATTGTTCCAGGTGTTATCTCCAGTGTGATTTTGTAACTTCAGGCTTACATAACTTCCAAATTAAAAAAAAAAAAGTGCATCTAATATGAAGTACAGTTTTCAAAAATAATAAACTGAATTTATTGTTCTAGGACGCTGATTTTCAACTGACCAGAAACAAACACTGAAGTAAGGAGTAACATTGTACTTCTACTGTAACACTGTAAAGGATTTCAGCTGGAACATAGAGCCTTAAACTTTGGAGCTTAAGCCTGAATCATATGAGAACTTATCAAGCGAGATGCATCTTAGTAAAAATCCTTACTTGCATATGTGGACAACAAATGTACAAACCATTTGTTTCCATTCAGAACTTAATTTTGAAAATAACTTATGGTGCTTAACATGTGAAGGGCACAAATTCTGTGTGCAAAACCCTTATAGAACCCACTTTCTTTTTCCCCATCACCTTTACGGTATAATAGTGCAAAGTGTGCAGAAATCATGTCTGTCTCATCAAAAGTATCTCCCCCCCCCCCCCCCCCACAAAAAAAAAACACAATCTCCGA